AGGACCTAATCCTGCAAAATCATAGCACTGCCTGCATGTGCATGGCAGGGTGTTGAACTAAAGCTAGTCAAGGGTGTTGAACTAATAATGCCCTGATCTAGCCAACTACATAGATGTCTAATGTGCATATCAGTAAATATTATTGACTTCATAAGACTCTTCTGGTGTTTAAAGTTAATATCATGTTAAAATTACTTGGCTAGATGAAGGACTAGTCTTAGTACTAAGCACTGCATACAGTAATGAGTGCTTTCAGGATCATTTTTGGAGACTGAGCCTATTTACAAATACAAATACTGAGTTTCTAACAAACTCCCAGGATATTCAAACTTCTTTGACTTTTATGCAGATAACATTGCACTATCTGGCCCATAATTCAGATTTCCTTTTCTGAACACATAATAATCAGGAAAAGATTGCATTACAGAAGCAGCTGTTTTTGTTTAGATTCTGTCTCCTGCTTATTTAAAAATCTTTCATTTCACAGGAATAATTTTAGGACCAGGAGGCAGAATGCTGTTTATTGAAAGAGTCAAAGAAGAGGATGAGGGACTGTACCAGTGTGTAGCCACCAACTTGAAAGGCTCGGTGGAGAGTGCAGCTTATGTCACAGTACAAGGTAAATCATTGCATGATAAAACATTGCTCTAAGTCAGGGGTCCTTCACTTTTTCAGACTCAAGGCACCCCTCCAAAACTTTTCAGAATTTAATGGCACCTCATTAGAAAGACTAATATAAATAGATCATGAATTATAATATAAACATTGTAAGTCTAGTATTCATGAATATGTTACTACTATTGATACCTTGGGCTGTAAGGGACAGTCTGGGATCTCCAGCCGGAGGTACAAAGTGCTGGATTGTACATGCAGCATGTGGGGGGCGCTGAGGGAGTGAGAGGATGAGGGCATGGACAAAAGGGCTCAGGAGGTGCAGGAGGCTGGCTAAGAGGGTGTCATAACATGGTCATTGTGCTGCACACCTCCTACAGTGGCTATGCTCTTGCTGCAGTCTTTCCAAGTCCGACATTGCAGTGTCTTCTAGAAACAGAAGTGTGTGTGTCATGTGGTCCTGTCCCACACACCTCCTATGTTCAGGAAGTCTGATGGAGTCAAACTAGGAAGCAGCTGCGAGAGAAAGCTGCACCTGTCTGCATTATATGATGCTGCCTACATATAGACACACTGCTTCTGCTGCAGCTGCTTCTCAGTTTGGTTCCAATGTGTCTCCTGAAAACAGAAGCGTGCAGGGTAGGTTCACTCCACAGTGGTGGCAGGAGTGGTACTGGTGTTGTGATACCCCTGGCAGGTTCTTGTGGTACCCCGATTAAGAATAACTGCTCTAAGTTATTGTTGTCTATTGATATACTTTTGCCTTTTCCATCTGCTTTTCTCTCTGTCTCCATTACAAACTGCAGAGGCAGGTAAGAAGCATTCTAAGCATCTGAGATTTCTGAATGCAGCAGTTTGAAGAAAGTCTTAACAAGGGAAATGCACCAGGTTGCAAAGGAAGCCCAGCAGGAAATGCTAACTCAGAATGTGTTTATATTGACTTGAAAAAAGGAATTGCTTCAGTCCAACAAAGAGAGGGTCAGGGTAGAAGGTAGATGTAAATTTAGCATTAGAAACAAAACAATTCCTGCTCATTCATTTTCCCCAACTCAGGTTACTTTTAGAGGAATGAGACATTAGTATTTTCAGTTTCTTGGTTTTAATACAAAATGGGCTGCTAAATCCAGCCAGAAGACTTTACCCATGATAGTCACATAATTTTCAAAGGCAGTTACTGTGAGAGCTAGGTATTATTATTATCATTCCCCCTCCTCAGGATAATCATGCTGTTCATTTAAATTGCCCAATCCTTTTCCCAGTCTTGCTCAGCTCTTAGTCTCAATGAGATCTTAGGGTGGTGAGTTCCATGACTATTTGTGTGCTGTATGGAAAGTATTGTCTTTGGTCATATTTAAAGTTGTTACTTTTCAGCTTTGTTGAATATCCTGTTAGATGTCTCTCCTGAGACAGGGAGAACAGATTTAACTTCTCTCAGACCAGGCATTAATCTGTAAATTCATATTTGTGTATTCATCTCCCTTCCAAGGAAAATAGTCCAAACATCTTCATTACACAGAATATTAGCACTTCCAGGCAGGGATCATGTCTTCCTGTCTGTGTTTTTACAGCTCCTAAAATATAATGGGATCACATTCCTGATTGTTTGGGTACTAACACACCACAGCTATCTAAGCAAATCAGTACTGACTTTGAGCTGCAAGTCCTTCAGCTGTCTTGCGGTATCATTTTTGGTATGTGTATCTATCACTTTAAGAAGTCAGAGGCATGTACATGAGCTCATGATCCAGGCTATGTACAGATAAATAAAGGACCTATTCCCCCTCTGAATAATTTTATATGTAGAGGGGCTATTTTGAAAAACAACTGGTCTTTGAGTGCCAGCTCTCATGTATTAAAGAATATATCCTACTGAATAACTACTTTTTCTGGTCAATGTGATGTTGTCTTGTATTGAATATTAAATGTAGTTGTATTTTGTTATTTACTGTTTCCACAAAAAATGTGTGGGAATACTTCTGGGCAATCAGTCTCTCCTTATTATCTGATTTATTGAAGAAAGGAAATAGTGGATTCCTGTTGAGTTAAGCCTCTTGCATGAACCATAGATGGAACTGCTGAATGGTGGGAGTGGCCAAGTAGAAAATGGATCCCACTTTGTTAAAGATTTCCCGTCTCTGAAATCTGGATTAGGAAAGATGTGAATCATTTTATTTGCCACTGCAAAAATACGGTCAAGGAAAATGCATTGGCAACCTCTCTCCCACCTATCTGCATGAAGTGTTTGTGGCCTTAGCAAGTGGACCGATGGTCAAAGAAAAGTGCTTCCTTGTCACCTCCTCAGGCAGTGATCAGCAGAACATGAACAACTGTCTCTCCCTTGTGGTGTTAACTAAAGAGGAATTATTGTGACTTACCCTGGCTTTGAGCCTGGAGCTCTGGGAGCAGCATTCTGATCTAGATCCATCTCTAGCCTTGCTGCATTCTCATCTTCCTTGAAAATTCATGATTTCTGCTGATGATAGAAAAAATAACAGAACTTTCTGTTTGCATGCAGTCACTCTACAAAGACAGTAGAGCATATCAAAGACAGCCAGACCAATGTCTCATGTCCATGGCTATGTTTAACAGGTTGGAAAAGTGGTTTGTAAATTAGTCAGGAAGGAAACTGTCTGCTCTTTTTATTTCCTTTGAAAAGTTCTTATACTTATAGATAAAACAATGTGTTATTTTTGTAAAAGAAAGGGATGAATGGACTGTGGAATACAAGTGGCTTCTTTAAATAATCACAGTCCTTGTTTGGTTTGGAAGTCACACATGTAGGACAGTCTGTGGAAGGGCTGTAGTCATAAATATGTCAGTACAAGCCATCAATTCACCTTCAGTTTAAGAACCGAAAAGGGAACCAAATAGAAATAGAAATAGAATGAATAAATAACAAAGTACTTCCTAAGTGAGGCAACATTTGCACCTTCAAATGGAAAAAAAGTGTTCTCTTAAATGAAGCAGGGGGGTTGCACACTTATTATGCAAGCAGCTAGCTATATCTCATAGTATTGAGTCTGTTCAGCCATGTCAGACTCCTCAGATCTTAACTCAAAACTTTTCAAGAAAGCCCTCTTGCTGGAGTTCTGCATTGTAGGTGCCATGTATACTTCTGAGTGGCAACGCTCAGTAGTATCTAGTTGAAACAGTAGAACCATTATTCAGGGATAAGTGTAAAAGAATGAATCGGTTTTATGGAGCACTCCTGCTTAAACAGAGGCTCATGGCCCATTTAAGTAAACAACCTTTCTTAAAATTTTAAAGTTGCCTGTGAAGAGCTGTGTGTAAAATCTTCATTGATATGACAGAGGAAATGTATTCATTGCACTAGATTTTATGCAGCTGGCTCAAACAAAAAAACAAAGAGAAGAGCAGTCTGTTACTTAATGAAACATTTTTATAGCAACAAAAGCATTAAGGTAACTGGAGCCCTAAAATCCTATGTCCAGCATTCATTGAAATCAATAGCAGTGTTTCCACTAAATTCAGTAGAAGCTGAATCAAGTCCTTGGTCAAAGTAGATTTTAGCATTATTTAATGGCTGTGAAACAAATAAGCTATATGATGGTATAGGAGGTCATCAAGACTGCGGCCACCACCTTGTCATGGGCTGCTATCTCATCAGAGCACACAAGCCAAGAAGGAATGAATCATATCAGTACATGGATGATAGGCTGTAAAACAGTGTAGGCTCATTACTGAATGCAGAAGTTACAGACAATGCAGAGGCTGAAGTATTTAATGCCTTATTACTTTAGTCATCACAAATTAAGTCAGTTAGTTACTGGATGATGAGTGTGGTTGACAGGAAAAATAGGGAAGGAGACAAACATCCTAGAGTAATGGAAAGACAGGTTAGGGATTACTTAGAGAAGCTAGATGTTTTCAAGGTGGCAGAGCCAGGTGGGATGCGCCCTAGGGTACTGAAGAAATTAACTGAGGTAATTTCACAGCCATTGGCTATCCTCTTTGAGAACTTGTAAAGGTCCCAGACAATTGGAAAAGGGCAAATATAGTGACATCTTTAAGAAGGGAAAGAAGGAGGACCTGGGCTATTACAATCCAGTCAGCCAGACTTTGATACCTGAAATGATCATGGAGCAGATCCTTAAGGAAGCTGTGGTGACATTGTTAGAGAAAAACAAGGTAATTGGGAATAAGCATGAATTCATCAAGGACAAGTCATGTCTGACTAACTTGATTTCCTTCTATGATGAGTTGTGGAGAGCATGGATGTGACATATCTTGACTTTAGTGAGCCTTTGAGACTGTCTCCCATGGCATGTTCATTAATAAGATAAGAAAATACAGAGTAGATGACAGTACTGTGAGGTGGATACATAAGTGGTTGGATTATCATGGTCAGTGAGTAGTCATCAAAGGCTCCCAGATCAAATGCATGTTTAGACACAAGCACTAGGGAATTATTTGTTAGGCTGTGGTACAGCAGAGATGGAGTTGGGGGTTAGAGCGGACCATGCACTGAACACGAATCAACAGTGTGCTTTTGTTGCAAAAAAAGCCAACCCTTTCTGTGTTGTATTAACAGGAGAGTCACTTGCAAATCCAGGGAAGTGATTCTCCCACTCTATTTGGCATTGGTGAAGCCTCACTTGTGGTACTGTATCCAGTTTTGGGCCCCACGCTTCAAGAAAGATGTGGACAGATTAGAAAGAATTCAGTGACAAAAATTATTAGAGAGCTGGGAAACACCACTTCTGAGGAAAGAATTAGGCTTAGAGATGAGCTCTTCTCTATGGCTACAGGGGACAGGAGCAGGAACAATGGCCTCAAACTGCATCAGAGGAAATTTAGGTTGGAGATTAGGTAGAACTTTTTGACTGTGAAGGTGGTTAGATATTGCGAAAGGCTACTTAGAAAAGTTGTGGAATCTCTGTCACTAGACATTTTCAAGAGCAGGTTAGACAGGTGCTTGGCTGGGATGATTTAGTCAGGAATAATCCTGCCTTGAGTAGCAGTCTATACTAGATGACCTCATAAGGTCCCTTCCAGCTCTACTTACCTAGATCCTATGGCAAACCCCAGAAGGTGTAGGAAGTAGTGGAGGAAGTTACCTTGTTGTGACTCGTACTGAACCGTGCTTTGCTGCACAGGATGTGCTGCCTTTCAAATGAGAATTGAAATGAAGTAGAGCCCTGAAGTTTTGTGGTCATGACTGAGGCTGTGGCACTATTCATGACAGTCAATGTCGACCAGGCTTTTATGTTCCATTGGCTTGGTCCATTGCCTATGTAACCTTTATGTCTAGCCACCTTTGACCCTCCAAATGAAACATCCAGTTACCTGATTCTGGCTTAGTTGACTGAGGACAGCCTTTAGTATGAGTAAGGTTTGAATGCAATTATCTGGAGCTGTAGCAAGAAGCCTGAAGTGCTCTGCTACTGTAACCACAAGGTAATCACTCTGAAATTTGATAAAACCTGCTAAATCCCATCTCAGATAAGTTCTATATCTATATCTATCATCTATATTTCCCTTGTCATTTAAATCACAGTATTTTTTTTTTATCATTTCTTTAGCTATTGCATGGAACAACATAGCTATTAAAATGCTGCTAAATTCCCCCTTAGAGCTGGCTGTGTTTTATTGTGTAGGTGCTGTTGCTGTTGCCATATGGACTGCTGATGGCAAATGGTTGCAAATGATTTACACTTGTCTTGCCTCTAGGTGCTGCTGAATCAAATGCCAGAAACTGTTATTTGCAATGTGTACCAACACTGAAACATGCTTACAAGACAAGTGTATACATAAAGCCTGAATTAGGTCATGAATTGTGCTGGAAAACATCAAGCTGCATTAAGCATATTGTCATACTAAAATTATAAAGGGAAGTATAATTTGTACCATATTTTTAAAAAGTTTTTTTTAAGTACTCACGCTTATGGCAGATTATCCCAAAGTTTGGAAGATTAATGCTTGAACCTGAATTTTAATTTTAATAATATTTTTTACTTGGCTAAAAGTTACTTTCATAGCTTGAATATGGACACGCCTGAGGTGTCTTAAATATTTGACATAAACAGAAATGATCACCTTTAAAGTCCCTGCATAGCACACTAGGTGTTAATCAAGCCATAGCTTCGGAAAGCAATTTAAAGTGAGAACAAAGCTCTGTAGACTTGCATACTTCTTGATTATTCAGTATTCCTAGCAGCAAGACATCAGTCTGTCCTCTTTCCTCTGTCAGGAATGATGTTCAGCTCTCTGGGCTTTGAAACTGCTGTAAGTGTGGTCAACAAAACAAGTACAACATCGTGTTTGGAATATGGTCCTGTATCCCCTCTCTCTTTCTCTGATGTCTGAATGTGGAATGTACCATAATATGAGACAGCCGGTTTTTGCATTTGCTGTCAGTAAGGACAAACATGTAGTATTTTGATATGAGCACAATGCTCATAAAACATTCTGCACTGAAGGTGTGTTATGAGTCTTAAAGGGGCAGTTTGAAGAGAAAATGATTTCTGAATTTTTTTAAAGCCATTCGTGAAAACTGATTTTTCCAGATTTACTATTTTAATGTTTTCTTGTTGCTCTACTTTTTGGTTTTTTTATCTTATTATTTTTAATTCCTTCATTGACTTTGATCAATTCTCCCAAGGTCACTCCAGGCATGATCCTGCAAGCTGTCAATAGCAGAAAAGGGGAACCATTTCCAGAGGCACAGAGGGGAGTCCTGTCTTTGTTCCATTGACATCAGGGGAGTTACATGGGGTGCAGGGAACTAGTAGAGGGCAAAGGTTGATCATAGCTGGGGAGGTGTTGCTAAGCCTTCATCTGTGCAAGGGGAATATAGAGCATAGCTGCCAAATTCTTTAAAGAGAAGTATGCTCACAGCTGCCTCTCCAACCACACAGGAAGGTGGGCAGCCTTCTTACCATGCAGATCCTCAGACTTGATGAAGGATTCAGCTCTAAGTTAGAGAGCCACTAGCAAGAGTCTTGGAGTCTTATTTCTTCATGGATCCATTACAATAGATTTATCCAGTAGATAAAACTCAGTAGGGTCTAAGAGTCAGTCCTAACAGTTAACACCCCTGGAAAAGAAGCTGGTCTTTCCTGATAATTTTCTTAACTACCTTTTACATTCCAAATAAAAGCACACTCTGTTTTGTAGTTTTATAACACATTAATTGCATAATGTTTCCAGGAACACCTGAGAGATCAAATCTGGAACTAATAACTCTGACCTGTACCTGTGTGGCTGCTACACTCTTCTGGCTCCTACTGACGCTCTTCATACGCAAGCTCAAGAGGGTAAGAACAGATGCACAATCATTGAGCTTCTCCATGGCCCCATTGACTGATTGGCTTTTGCTATAGCTGGAAAATTCTCTCTCATCTCAAATGAGATTCACCAGAACTGAAAATAAGAGTCTGACTCAGCCTTGCCTTGCTCTGTGTATAGTCAGCTATACCAGTGCAAAGGGGGGTGTAATACATGGGTTACTGGTGCCTCCTGAGACTGGGGGGCACAGTTTGTGGGTGGCAGTGGCAGGGGGGTGAGTCACGACCACCCACAGAAGCCAGCATTGGCAATGGGGGCAGTGAGTGGCAACTGGCCGCAGAAGTCAGCGGCGGTACCAACGGTAGGGTGGTGAGTGGTGACTACCTGCAGAAGTTGGCAGTGGTGGCAGGGTGGTGAGTGGCAACCAACCACAGAAGCTGGTGGCAGCAGTGGTGGGGGGGAAGGGTGGCAAGTGGAGACCACCTGCAGAAGCCAGCAGTGGTGGCCAATTTCATGGGGGGCATATGCCCCCCCATGTCCTCCCTACCAGTTGCCTATGGTATAATGCTAACCAAATATCACCGCAGAATCAGAATCACTGCTAGGCCCAGATAAAAAAAAACTATGCAGGGCAAGGGCAAGGGCAAGGGCAAAGGCAAGGGCAAGGGCAAGGGCAAGGGCCTAAAGCTCAGCTTCTTCACAGTATTTAGGTGCTTAACTCCCTTTCTACCCCTCTATGCGGCGCTGGTCAGGCCACAGCTGGAGTACTGTGTCCAGTTCTGGGCGCCGCACTTCAAGAGGGACGTGGAGAACCTGGAGAGGGTCCAGAGGAGGGCCACTTGTATGGCTGGGGGCCTCCGTGGCCAGCCCTATAAGGAGAGGCTGAGGGACCTGAAGCTCTTCAGTCTCCGCAAGAGGAGACTGATGAGGGATCTTGTGCCTGCCTACAACTTTATCTGGGGCCACCAGCAGGGACTCGGGGAAAGTCTGTTCACCAGGGCCCCCCTTGGAGTCACCAGGAACAATGGCCACAAGCTGAGGGAGG